CACGAAAGGATCAATTTTTAATTTCATAGCTATTATAATCGATGCTTATCTGTCACGGACAAAATTATCATCACCTTGACCTTAAAGAAACATTTTTTAAGAAAACATATTACAATGACTCTCAAAAATTATAATCAAACAATAAATTAAATGGCAACTAATAGTCATCGCAGTTAACAGTACGTGCTTATTTTTTACAATAACTTATTTATTAAGACACAAAAAGTAACTCACTTATTAAAACGCAAGATAAATTTATTAATTATCAAATTCTTATATATGAGTCGAGTTCGAACATTCGGCTCTTCGCTGAAGATGGGTCAAGAAAGAAGCTCAAGTTCAAAACGTTCGAACCCGATTCATATCTAAAAATTGAATAAATTGATATCTTGTGTTTTAATAAATGAGTTATTTTAAAAGTTAAGCACGCACTACTAACAGCGTTGACTTTTACTTGCCATTTAATTTATTGTTTGATTTATTTAGGAGAGTAATAATAATAATTCTATCCATGAGAAATGAGAATCGAGATTCAATTCATCGTCCGAAGAGTTTGATGGTACGTGACGTTGCATCGCGACGTTTAAAGAGCTTCGCTAGAAATCGATTGCGTATCACGATCGATTTTTCTTCGACAATTATTTTCTTACTCCAACAATTAAAGCGTGACTTACACATCAATAAGTAGCGACGACCTTTGTTGATTTCTTTGTTGATTTATTTCTTGGTTGCTATGTAACGATTCGTTAGAATTATAATTAGGACTCGCGTGTACCGCCAGATTTCAATTTGACATGCGTAAAAATGATTATTCAAAAAAAAAAAACGAAGAGAGTATTCCTATATGCATGTTTTGCGAATAATAATTGTCTAGACTAATAATCTTTCTCTTCAATTACGCGGTAATATAAATATGTATAAATATATATAAATAATTATATATTAAATATGTATTCTATATATATTCTTATTAGTTCCTTTTTTGTAAAATTTCTGTTTGAAGATAAGAAAAAATTGACAAATAATTTAATTCTAAATATATATAATTAAAATAATATAATTTATAATTAAAAGTATACATAAAATTATACATATGTAATTATACATATATATAAATATTTCATAATTATAAATATTTTTTATTTCTTAAAACTTAAAAACTTTTGTAAAAAAAAAAAACATTGCAAAAATTATCCTTTCAATTTTTTTTTATATCTTCTCATTATTACTATTATTTTTATACTAAACAAAAATTTCACAAAAAAAAACTAGTATAATAAATAGAAGTATAATAAATAGAAAAATGCTTGCATATAATACTTATTTATATACATATAATATTTATTTGTTTTACGTATATTGAATTGTCAACGTGAAATATATTTGTAATAATTATTAAGTTTAATAAGCACGGAATTAATACAAAAATGTGAGTTTCGAAAAAAAGACAAGAGTGCACTTATATATCTTATAAGAAATAATTATATAGATAATAATTTCTTTATCTAAATACTAAATAAAAAAATGTTTGCATACATCAATATTAAATTATTTCTTATTTATTTACTTATTATGCACTAAATTATTAATAAGAAATAAATATAGTAATTATTAAATTCAATATTTAAGGAATTTTACTTTAATATAAGTAATCAAAACTTAATGTTTAAATATATATAATAATGTCAAAAATTCTACAAAATATTCTTTTCTTAAAAAAAAAAAAAAAAAAGTTTCTTCACAAAATTTGAATCGATTATTGCAGAAATTTGAATTCACGATGTAATGGCAATAGCATTCGTCGCTAGATGGCACCTATATGTATTTACAGTTCTCGCGTGGTGCACATTTGGTAGCACTTTAAAATACTTCGGAGCTTGGTTTGTTTATTAATTAATTTCGTGTAAGTCACACGAGAATATCACGGATTATAATTTGCAATAATATTTAGAATTTTATTCATCAATTTGCAATTGTTGTTTTCTTGTATAGCATCTCTTGCGAATTGTGATAATTGATTATATTATAACTTGAAAACAACAAAAAGGATTATTAGGCTTATTAGCTTGTGATAAATGAATTAAAATGGATTAAAGTTTTGTGTGACAAATATAAAATTATTAGAGATGTATCATACGATCAGATATGTAACTTTGGAGTATGTTAACTTTAGAGGTTAGGTTGCTATCGTAGAACATCAGTTATGTATGTACATATATATATATATATATATATATATGTGTGTGTATTATTTTTTATATATATATTAAATATATATATGTTATGCAACTAATCACAATAATGATAATTGTTATTCTAAATTTTGACTTAAAAATATATAACTACAAAAAATTATTTTTGCATAAAATTTTAAAAACGTCACATTTACTAATTAAATTATATTTAATAATTAATAATTATATTTAAATTATAAATAAATGAATCTTTTTTTTTATCTTTTAATTCAAAATCAAAATAATATATAATTACCTAATAATTTTTTTAACAACAATAATCCTTATTTGTTTAAAATTTCTAGTGCATTCATAATAATTAAAAGCATTAATAAATGCCTTTCACATGAATAAAGACCAAAAAGTCAAATTATTAAATAGCAGCATATATAAATTTTATATATAAACATTTTTATATTTCACAAAAAGGTACATGCATAACAAAAATCCTTCACGAATCCTAAGGAACTGTCTTATCAAGTTTTATAAACATGTTTGGAAAAGAAGCTATTAAACTTGTAACGGAGCTTGATATGCATGAAGATATTCGACCATTTAATGTAAGTGTTACAAATATCATTATTGTTATAGTTACAATCCTAAAATATCTTTGAATTTACAGGAACAGGTAATGCGACAAGTTTTTGAAGAGATGCAAAAACTTTATGAGGCCAATCTTGTGGACAGGTATACATATTATATGATATTCGTCAAAGCAATTTTACATCATTAATTATATATATATATATATATATAAATTATCATTAATCATCATTATATAATTAATATAAAGAAATAAAATCAAGAAGATTATTGTACATAATCAATAAAATTATGTTTAATTGTTTTGTAACATACATTGAAAATGTAAAAACTGAGTTCTATTAACGATTGGATATTGATCTTAACAAGTCTTTCCCTGCTTTCCACAAATGTTTCAGACTTTCCGCGAATGTTTCAGTAACGCCATACAGAATGAAGGAAACACTACATTGTTACCATCGGTGCATTTTCGTCATACAGCACTCCTTAGAAACAAAAGATGCGTACTGGCATATCTGTACCATCGGATCAGACGATTACGACAGATGCGCTGGGAATTGGGGAGTATTCTGCCAGCTGAAATAACTACCAATCTGTTGAATGCAGAGATACAATGGTTTCAAAACTATAATAAATCTTTGGCCACCTATATGAGATCAATTGGTGATAATCATGGATTAAATCTGACTATGAACATGAGCCCTCCAAAGACACTCTACGTCGAGGTAAATATTTCTATTATATATTAAAACAAAAATTTGAAAAGAATTTGATTTAAAAATGATTTAAATGAATAGAAAAAGTTACTTTGAAAAATATTTATATTAAGGAACACCTATCGTATTTTACAACTTATATAGAATATGAATTGGACATTTTAACCACTTCAAAGATTCTGATCATTTTAGAGAAAAGATAGAGAAAAAAAAATATTTTAATTTATTTTTGGATAATGATTAAAAAATAATTTCTATTTCAGGTGAAGTGTCTAAGTGACTTTGGCAAGCTAGAACTTGACGACGGCGAAATTATTACACTTAAAAAGAATACATATCATTTGTTACCAAGAGCCATATGCGAACCGCTTATCAGGCAAGGCATACTCGAGCACCATAATGCGTGATAACTGCATGATAAATGAAAGAGTCACCTTATTTCCGTTATTTCTCTTATTCGACTATATTGTGTTCACTTTTGTGCTAAACAACACTTCCATCGCTGCCTTATACATCTTATCATTAAAGATCTTATCTTCATATACTTAATCATCATATTGAAGAAATAAAAAAAAAAAGACATTTTTAATATAAAATATTAATTAATATTAAATACAAATGCAGATTTTAAATTTTTTCGTAATATTTCTAATTTTTATTAATTTTTTCTTTCATTGCTTTTTAATCTCAAATAATTTTTATCATTTTCGCACATAATAAAGTAATAATAAATCTAATAATAAAGTATTAAAAATAAAGTATTAAATAATATGTCCATGATATAATATAGCACATTTTATCATTTAAATTGATAATAAAGTCAGTCAATTAACAGTTGAGTTCATCATTCATAAGTTTTTAATTTTATATATTTTTATATTTAAATATTGATTTGAATAATTGAAAATTATTGCAATTCAGATGTACTGCAAAAATTTAATTATCAAAAAATTTATTTTAAATTACCAACATTATTATAGAATATTTTTATAGACATTTCAACATAGGCGATACGTGGCAAGAAACTGGGGCACTTGTATATACATATATAATATATCGACACACAACGATTCAATATTTACTTGAGAGATTAAAATATGGAGCTCGTTGTAAGTAAATGTGATAATAACTCCTCCTCTCTTCTTGGTAAATTCTCAAACTTCTAGAATGAAGTAAAATATTCTTTTCCTTTATCTCTTTAACTTCTCCTTCCCTCTTACCAAGTTTCTTAAAAATACAGTTCGCATAGCTCAGACGGCAGACAATCCGAAGCAGTTCTTAAGTCACAACGGCATACAAATACAGACGTACGATATACGCACGTACGTGCTTCACGCATAGTTTACTAACGGCAAGTTAGTTTTTCCTCGGATAAGACCAGCGGCAGTCGACATCTATCTCGTGTAATCGTTGCTTTCTAATGTTTCCTTTTGATTATGAGTAAAGGCATTCTGCTGTCCACAATTTCCTACGGTGAACAAAACAAAAACAAAAAAAGAAGCATATTTCATGTCGAAAGAATCATAACAACTTTGGCGAGTTGTAAGCTAAGTCTGCTTAAGATGCTCTTGGCTGCTGCTTAATAATGACAAGTAAGTTAGCAAGAATCTAAGAAAATTGACATAAAAAAAATATCAGAGATTTGTTTAACTTTGTATATACAAGAGGATTAATTGTAAAATAAAAAGTAATTTTCTTATTCTTTTCCCGAGAAATAAATTTTGTTTGTTTGTAAAAAGGAAAATGCGCGAATTTTATTTTAAATAGAAATATAACAAATTTAAAGGCATAACAAATATAAAAACAAATTTATTTTAAATAAAAATATAGTAAATTAAACGTTGAATTCATTCGATAATCTTTACACGATACAATTGCAAAAGCAGTATGAAGAATATCATCATTTTCTTAGATGTTTATTTATCGTTATGTTCCGTAAAGTCGCATCGCACATAACGCAATAATGTGCGTCACATGATTTATTTTCTTCGTTTAGCGGCTTAAGAATATATATATAAATATTTTTTTTATTTAGCGCTTAAAGCGCTTAAAGCGCTTCTGATTTTGAAAATAAAAAATAATAATCTCGCATGCTTCGTATAATCCTTTTAATAATAATAGTACATATATGCAAAAAAAAAATGTAAATGCTTTGAAAATTATAAAAACATAATTTCTGCTTAATCGTATCACGGATAACGTTTCATTCTTCAAATAATTTATTGCCACCTATAACAATAAATCAGAAGAAAATATTTAGCGTTCATTTTAATTTAACAGAGCCAAAATTTAGATGATTAATTGTGCTTTGCACATATGTTCCCTCCTGGCCTATATAATTTCAGATGAAAAAATGATACAATGCGATTTAAAGTCTGAACGAAAATGGTGATAACAATTAGTGGACTGTCGGTCGCTTTCTCTTCGTGAATCTTTACTTTCATTTATTGATTAATAGTTTTATACGAACTTAGAAAGTTCTGCTGTAGAAAGTTCAGGACATGCCCCAAAACGAGCACGTACGTAAAAGGAAAGGTATACGGGCCCACCGAAGAAATGATGCGATCTGTACACTTTGAGTCAGCGTACTTCCCCAATTCTACGGTTATGCGGTCAAATAATGGGTGGCATTTGTCGCGTGGCATGAATTTAAAAAAAAAAAATACTATCTTTCTTCTTACATAATCGTGACATCGATCGGTTCTTCTGCAAAGAACACGAGTATCTTCAACACAAGAGATCTTTCAAGATTAAAATAACTGATATGCTATAAGCTCGCGATGTCAAAAAATAAGACAAGTCCATGCAATAACACTCGAGATTATAAATTTCTTAACGAATTTGTCATATCGGGATACATAGCAGCTTCTCATTTAAGTATTTAAACGTTGCAGCTGTTACTACCGTTACGTTAAACAAACTTCTTATTATATTAGTAATTTTTATATCATAATGCTATTATTTTTATCATAATGCTATTATATAGTTACATAATAATAAATAAATCAGTCAACGGAATAATCATGTGTAATAAAGATAGGATAAGGTGATATAGAGATTCAATTCGAGGACAATGCGAACTTAAAGTGCGGGTGTCATGTAATACGATTATTTTTATGCTTTATATTTAATGGTCTTCAAGCTAACTTCAGGTACATATAAAAAATTATTCAGTTGTTATTTTAGTGACTTTCAAATTATTCGTCAAACAAATTGATTTGATATGTCAAACAATTATTTTTAGCTGCTTTAAAATAACATTACTATGCGTTAAGATATTTATAATTTCACGTACATGATTATTAATTCTTTAACACAAATTTGAGCATACATCATTTGGGGATATATATAAATTTCTCATAATATATGTCTCATAATATATCTCGATAAATTCATGCGTTAAGATATTAATGATCACGAGTATACTTATTACATGGTTCATTTTCGTGTTATTTTCATAATATTACCTTATCTTAGATTCCTATCTTTTTTTTTTCTTTATTTGATTGAAAAACAAAAACTTAAAATTGTTTTAGCTGTTATTTTAACTTTTACAAGGATTCTAAAGTTTTGTAAGTGAGTATGAGTCGAATAAATAAAAATTGTTTTATATTAGACATCTTTAATATTCTTAATCTTACTATTATATCTTAATCTTATTTTTTCGGAAAGTTCCAAAAATTTCGGAAAAGATTATAGTAACTGTTAAGACGACGCTCGACGACGCTGCGTCGTCAATTCTGCTGAGCAAACAATACCGCTGATTATTTACACATTTTCTATCGTTATCGTAGGTTTTCCCCAGATAATCGGGGCATTGACGTCGGCGTCAGGTTTACCTGTCTAACAAGGTCGCTCGCTCATTAAAATCTTTACCTTTGTTCCTAATTAATTATCCATCATTATCTTATCTTAATGTCACTGTAATGCAGTAGTGATCTTAAATTCCAGTAGTGATAGTAAATTCCATATGAAGGTACTTCTTTATCGCATCTATTGAAACTCGCTTACCTCTGCAGAATTACATTTACAGATTATTCCTCGGTATTTGCGATTAATCCTTCATAGGATTAATCCTTCATTCATTGAAAGAGTAGAGATTATGAAGAAAAGTAATTTCTAGAATTATGAACGATTAAGACTGAAAAGCTCATTTTATATACAAATTAATTAATTTAAATATTAATTACAAGGAATGAATATAAATATATTTAATAAATTTATAATTGAAAAATCATGAAAAATTCCACAACAATATTTTTATTAAGATAAAATCTGCAAATTTTCCAAAAAACCAAATTTCAAAAAGTTCTTGAAATAACGTTTTTTGAGATTATCTAAGATATAAACAAGAATATAAACAAGAATAATAACTTTTTTTAATAAATAATAACTTTTTAAATAAATAATATGTTTTAAAATATTTTATTAGTAAGTTTTATTATTGATTTCGTAACATACGACACTGATATTTAAAAGAGTTCAAACAATAGAAATAGAAAAGTGGGTCACGCGTACGTTTAAATTGTAACTTGAAAGTAGCAGGTAGTGGACACGTTTCATTATCTTAAATTCTAACGTGTGGCCTTTATAATGATGGAAAAACCCATGTGGAATCTCTCTCTAGTGAAGAGCTCTTTTGTACACATCGATGCCGCACATTTGGTGGCGGCGGCGGCGGTGGCGGCAACGGCAGCGACGACCGCGAATCGATTTCCCGATATGCGCAATAAACGATCGCGTCGTGCGTTTACCGTCGTGCATCGTCGCGAGGTCGTTTCAGATAGGAAATGCCGCTGGAATTTCCGGTGAGTTCGTCGCGTCGCGATACTTTTACCAAGAGGAGCCACAAAGAAAGTAGTCCGTCACCATGTGGTGACGAGCATGAAAACGCCGCGTCGATCGGCGTGTGATAAATCTCGTGTGGCGCGAATCCGACCGCTGATGGGAGAAATCTTTGAAAATCTGCGAAATAAAGGTGTCGTATGCGCGCGCACGCGCAAAATCATAATCTATTAACTTAATCTATTTTTTTTCTTTTTTAATCATAAATCTAATTTCGATTATAAAATTTAACAATTATAATAATTACAAATTAATCGATAATAAATAATAAATTTACAAACAATTCACGAGATGTACGATGTAGATGACGAAATCTCTCATGTAGTTTCTTTCACGATCACTTGTTGCTTATTCAACCAAGTTTCTTTCACGAACTGCTTCCATCTAAGCATTTTAAATTCTGATATTCTTATATTATTATTATTATTATTATTATTATTATTATTATTATTATTATTATTATTATTATTATTATTGTATCTCTTTAAAGCAATTCTTATTTGCGAAAATATGTCACGGTTAATACCGAAAAATTTCTCCTATGATTCATCTCCCAAAAAAAGGACAACAAAGGAAGACACACGAGACGAAAGATTTATCAGGAGAGATCGATTCCGGGAACGAAGAGCAAAGCTCGATAAAATTGCGGCACTTTGTACCTGATAACTACAATCTAATTTATAAGATAACGTCAACGCACATTTCATTTCGTAGCATTAATCTCAATACTACATCACGATAAGTCGTTAAATCTGGGGAAAAAAAGAGAATGACGGGGAGGGGATCGTATATTTTCCCTAAGAGTTAATTCCAAAAGATAATTCATTTATTGGCAGATGCTGCGCGCGTATGTCCGTATGATAAAGATTCGCGTTTACTCTCGAAGAGACACGCGATAATGACATTTACGCATGAAAACGAATTACCACGAAAAGAAGAAAAGTGTCGCAGTGACATGCGCGCGCGGTGGAAAATATATTGTTACGTAAAAGTACACGCACGATCGATTTCGAACGCGCGAGAACAAATTTACCGAAACATGCGATTTCATTTGTTCTCGAAAAACGATAGGGATATTTATATATCCCGGGTTTTATTCGTTCTTTGACAGTCCGCTACTATCCCTTCGTCCACACCGAAGGTACGATCTTTTAAGTAATCTTAAAGAAGAAAAATTCGAAAAATGAATATTTTAATTTATTCTTCGTTTGTTTTGTTGTGATTAATTAATTGCATGTTTCAACAAGAATATATACTTTTACATACTTTTTCGATGTATTCTTAAAATTGCTTATAAGTAAAATGAGAAAAAATTGCTTTCCTGAAATTATACTGAAGTTCTAATAAAGCTTGCCTAGAAAGCTTTTACGGACGGTTTCGCTAAAACATATAAAAATTTGATCAGAATACAGATTTGAAAATTATTTTTGAAAATTATCCAATAAAATAATTTTTAAATCCACATTTTTAAGCAAATTTTTAAATACTTCAATAAAACCATTCTTTCCATGCAGCATTATTTTTACGTAGGATTATTTTCTCTTTTAGTTATATCAAGTATTATCTACAGTCTTCTTCTTAAAATTTCCTTTTTCAAAGAAAGGAGATTGGATATCGTTTTTTTTTTTTTTAATGAGATATTACTAGAGAGGACGTAATACAATGGTTCCTTTTGTTTTCTGCATAATCTGATAACTTTGAATTTCATTCAACTAATGAAATAATCATACAGCATTTCGAGATCGTATTTAATACTATTTTAAATATAAGTTTAATCTATTAATATACTATCCTCAGAAAACTAGATTCCAATCGTAAGTTTTAATCTAAAAGTAATGTTCAACAAATGGATATACTATTTCTTATGCATTTCTCGCGAAAGTCTAGCAGGACATTCCGTCATGTTGAATTTTCCTCCGCATGCAGCCAATCTGCGGTAAAAACCTATGTCGTAAATGAGAAATTAGAAGAAATTAACGCACCGATAACGATTCGACAGATACTCCCTGTGGATATTCCCTTTAAATATCTGAGTGTTTAAATTGACATCTGACCTGCGATTTTAGGCATATAAACGATAATGGAATCTAATTTCAATTAGAGTTTATCGCATTTTTTTCTTTTCCGAAACAAATATTTTTACATGAAAGGAACAGTTTCGCTGAAATATCTAAAAATTTGACCAGATATAGATTTGAAAATAAGTTCATTATGCTATCAAAATAATTAAATAGGACGATTAAACATAATAATACATCGAAGAAATAGCTTTGCTAAAATGTTTAAAAATTTGATTAGATCTGAAAATAATTTTATTAGGCCATCAAAATTATCATTATGTAGGATACAGCACAATAATAATATTAATATTAATAATTAATAATAATAAAAATTTTTGATATTTTTAACAGTCAACATTTTTTAGTGTCCTATATAAATATTTTGGTGGCTCGACAAAATTATTTTCAGATTTATATCTGATAAAATTCTTAAATATTTTAGCAAACAGTGTTATTTCATGTAACACTGCAAAAATTTTTGATATTCTAACAATCCAGATCCATCCAGATAAAGTTTTTTGTACATTTTTTAATAGACTTGATAACTTTTGCAAAGATATTTTTGAGATGTCTCATGTTTTATGTCGATTTTGAACTTTATATTGATGTCTGAACAATTTGAAAATATCTTACATTATTATTTTTCATAGTTTAACAAAATTATTATTAAATTCATTTCAAATTCATTTCTCAATTTCTTAGATACGTCAATAAAGTTTCTTTCTGTGTATTTAACGGTTATTTTCTTTATATATCTAAATATTTAAATTAACATTCAACCCATGATTTTAAGCGCATTATAAATAATGATAATAATAATAAGAGTTTATCACAGAGTGATCGTATTTTCTTCTATCTTTGGAGATATTTTCTCTTTAAAAATATTTTTACGAAAATAACGATTTTGTTTAAACTAAAAAATTATCTAAAAAATTGGTCAGATACAGATCTAAAGTTCAAGTTGGGCTATCAAAATAATTAGAACGCAATAGTAAGTAATATGCAATAATAATACTGCAAAAATTTTTGATATACTAACAATCAATTTGAATGTACATAAATATTTTAATTATCCGACACTTAAAATTGTTTTTCATTTATTTGTATCTTGTTAAATTTTTGTATCTTTTCTTTCTTTAACAAAACCGTTCTTTTCGCATAGGGTAGATAACATTATTATATTATAATATTATTATGATATATTATAATGGAATTTATTTTTTAGTTCCACGAAATTTAAATTTTTGTTAAATTTATTCCATAGATTCCATAGATTCGAAATATATTATAACACGAATCGTCACATTTTCTTCGCGACTCAACGTTGCCTTATCTATAAAATGAGAGTCGTATCGTATCGGTTACATGGCATACGGCCATGCAGTGGCCCTGCCCGAGGTTGATGGGTTTTTCCGCCCCTACTCCGTTCACTTAGGAATTACCGCCGTAGGCTCCACTCGATGCAAGCATTGCTGAATGGTCGTTTATCTGCGCATGCGCGACAAGCGCGCTCCCAGTAAAGTAGTCTGAGTAAAAATAAATAAAGGTGCTGGATCTGCTGGATGCTCGCTCCTCTTCTCTGGCTCTAAAAAAAAATTGATTTTATCGAGAAAGCGAGTTTTCACCTTTATGCAAAAAATCAACAGCGACTCACTCGTACTCACTGTATGCGGAACGCATACGCTAACACGAGACACAATGCACAAAAAATGCAATTTCCCTGTGAACTATTTTGTAAAAAAAAAAAACAAGCTTCCGGTCGCTATTCATCGCAGATATAAGGCTTTATTTTTTGAAATTATATTAAATTATAATATTTCAACATGAAATATTATAACATTCCTTCTGGATCCAGAAAAGAGGAACGAGAGAGGGGAAAAAACCTAAGAGATTCGACTGTAAAAGGAAAGAAAAGATATCCTACGCTCCTGCAAACTCGGCGCACGCGCGGAAAATGCTGCCTGTTTAGCAACAAGGTGCTCTCTCTTTTTACCGAGCAGTTCGTTCTGAGATACGAGACAAGATAGGAGCTCGTCTGTCGCGCGGTCACGAAACGCGACGCACGAATCGCGACGAACGATAAAGCGCGGATCTCTATCTCCCGCGTTCCCGTTCATCTCCCTCTTTCTGGCACAGATAGAAAACGGTTAAGATCGATTAAGATCCAAGTTCCGCAACGCGGTGAAAAGTGGTGCGGAACGAGACGTGTGAAACCCGGTAGAAAGTTCGGGCGTGCAAAAGTACGGGAACAAGAGCACCGCGGGGAAGAGAGATCAACAACGCGGGGGTGGAGGGGACGGTGGATCAAAGTGCGGGACACAGCTGTTCCGTGAAAGGAGGAGGATAGCGCCGAATACACACGGCGACGAGAGCGAACGAACGGAAGAGACCGGAATCGGAGACTCCGGAGCGGTATACGAAAAAAATCGAACGAGCGTGTTATCGCACGAGGGCTACACCGCGCGTAACGAACAACGCGTGACGAAGGTCACGCGAAGAAGCGGAGGTCGCGAGCCAAGCGGAAATTATTTTGCGAGCCGAGCGCGCAAAGTGTAATCGCGAGGGGGAGGAAAGTGCAAGCGAATCGACAGCGTGTCGACGTAGGCGGACCGCGACGCGAAGAGCGTGCCTTCTCACGGATCAGGAGAGGAGATGCTAAACGAATCCGAATCCGTTCCTCGGATTTTAACCGTCATCCGTTAGAATCTCAGTGCGTGCCCACTCGCGTGCGTGCTCCTTTCTCGTCTCCTCGTGCCGCGACGTAGTACACGTACACGTACATACACGTCAATTCGGGACACGTGAAGTGTCCAACGTGGAGAGATACAACGAAAGAAGAAGAATATCTCCGATAAGAAGAAGAGGAGAAAGCGGGAGTTGCGAGCGCTGTCCCAAAAGTTGTGGGGAGCGAGAGCGAGAGCGAGAGCGAGAGAACGCGAGAGAGTCCCCCGATCTTCTTCGGCGCGAGAAAGATGTGGCGTCCCACGAGTGACGGCAGTCAGACGGAGAAACATGTTGCAGGGGAGGACAGGAAGCAACGGTGGAAGTGCGAGGGCTACGACGAAGACGAGTGCGAAGCGGGTAACGTCGATTCCGGATTCCTGTCGGGCGGCAATCTTCAGTTCAGCGGCGAGATCAGTGGCGCCGGCGACTCGGGGTTGCCGCAGGAGGGGCGGCGGGCGGCGGGGGTGGGGGAGGGGGAGAGGCAGAGGCAGGTCGCGCCGACCACCGAGTTGACGTCCAAGGTGACGGCATCATCGTCGGAGGTGGCGATCGCGGAGGAGCCAATGAGGGCGATCGACAGCGGCGTGGACCTCGATCTCACCGAGACCCTGAGCCAGCTCAGCCTGAAGCATGTCAGCCTGAACCCGCTCGCCGCCAAGGGCGACAAGCTGATCCAGGCCGAGCCGACGACCCCGGTGTTGTTGCCCGTCAGCGCGAATCTCACGCGGAGGGACGATACCGTGCCAGCGACGTACGAGCAGCACCAGCGGGACGATGAGCGACGCGCGACGAGCAACGAGGAGCCCTGGCAGCTCTACTACACACAGGATGACGACGGTGACACGTGAGTGGATTACACGTGTTTTATATTACTGATGACGCTTTTACTGACGCTCTTGCCCTGACGCTTTTCCACCAACGTAGATTGATTTTAATCTCGGTTCAACTTACTCTTTATCTTTTTCTAATTTTAAGAATTTAGAAAAAGAATTAAAAGATGAAGAGCAAGTTAAACCGAGATTAAAGTAAATTTATGTATTATGTTGGTGGAAGTGAGCATTTCAGATCAACTTTAACTCTCGGTTTAATTTAGCTTTTACCATTCTCTCTCTCTCTCTCTCT